TAGTCTTCAGTCCCAGCAGACACTGACTCAAATGACAAGTTGAAAATGAAAAAAAAAAAAAACCTGGATGCGTGGAGTTGCATACCAGACCTCTGTTGCTCCTCATCTCTGCTGCGGGCTAGTGGCTCAAGGCTACATTAGCTGCTATTAGAATAACACACTTGATTCTCTGACCAAACTTTCGCCAGGTATTTGTGGGTAATGCAGGCACTAGGTGTTGACAATAAAGAAGGGTGCATGCAATAAGCAGACAATATCTCTGGTTCTATTGCATTGATTTTATTACTATTTTTGAAGTGCAAGGCTAAATCAATGGAGTACTCTTTTAATGGAGCTCTGATGGCAAAAAATTAATTAGATGAACTTAAAAAGAATCATGCTGAACTTCATCCATGCATAATTTCCTATGAATCCCTAATGGCCAGGCAGGTAATTCAAAACCCATGTGGGAATGGCGGAGTCCGCCACTAAAAAGAAAAACTATTTTGAGAGAGAGGATTACATAATGTAAATACATTGAATGGCTATTGTTGAAAGAATGTACACCATAAATGGTATGAAGGACAAGGATTACAACTTTAAATGCAAGACTACAAGATCATCATAAATTAGGTTGAAGGCAAGCCTGCACATACTGAACCTTACTGTAGCTCTGACATTTTTTCAATCTTTTAAATATTTCATAATCCTGAAAGACTTTCTCATTTCATACAAAAGGTGAAATGCAGGTTACCTTATGAAACAATTATATACAGTTAGTCTTGCCATCCACACATTGGTGTTATTACATTGCCAAGCTGTACGACGAAGTTCATTTGCAGGTCATACACACGCCTGTAGCCAACAAACTTACAACAGACTAACGCTCACGGCATGCACTCATCAGAACTCCTCACTTATGAAGCTGTGTGCATTCCCAGTAATCTCCCCAAAAATGAAGTTGTGTTCTATCAGAGCTGATCTGGGGAATACATATTCAGAGAAATTACATATTCCGCAGGCGACGCCTTCTTGATTTCCACTGGGTCTTAAAAAAACAGGAGTAAGATGGAACCGACGGAGGTGGGGGTTGTGGGCAAAATTAAATTATGCCTAATTACCAGAGCAATCGATAGCAAATTGAGTTGATATGCATCCTTCATGACTTAACTAGATATCAGATAGCGCGGGTAAGCAATGCATTGTAACATGAGTTGATGGGTAAAGGTGATACGGAGGCACTTTTGATGGCAGGAGTTAAGGGAGTGAGTCCTGTATTATCTGATCTGTCAGGGTTGCGGCTGTTGTAGTTTGGCAGCTTTCCCGATTCCGGAATTGAGGAGACACAGGGGGAAGGTTGTTGTGATTGTCAGGGGTACCATACCTTGTTGAATCTGTCATGAAGCCAAAATACATTGGAGTACAAGCGGGGACGTCATTCTGAATGTCATTTTTAATTGATAAATAAATAAGAAGTGGCATTGCCCTCGGCTACTTTTCAAGCATATCATCACTGTAGTATCATCTACAGTATGTTGTCAAAATTATTATTCATCAAATTGTCCGGGGTGAAATGGTTTTGGGTGACGCGTACTCCCAGTTTCACGCCGCCACAAGTAACAATCCCTGAAGTGAACGCTGTCCTGCCCTTAAAAAGGAGACAAATGAAGTTATCTGACCTCTGCGCTTGCATTGTGACAGCTGATGATGGACAGCTAAAGTGATTCCGTGGGTCATACTGGTGTTTCAGCTGAGCAGAACGCCCTTGGTAATTAGAGCGAGCAACCTATAACCATAAGGTCACAGGTTTGATGCCTCTGATGACCAATGAGTTCATCACTGTTGAAATGCCCTGAAACCAAAACACTGACGCACCGCTTGTGGTTGACCCCGCACCCCGACGCCTGCAGTGTGGTGTGTGTTTGCACGTCCCAGACTGATGGAATGAGAAGCTAAAATGTGTAAAGGCAACTGTTGCGGTAAGCTATAGAGATAACCGACTTTATAGTTGGACTGTGGGGTGTTATTCAGAGCTCAGCTGAAAGTTAAAAACGGGGGTATTTTAAAATTTTAACAGCATAATAATAATCAATCTGGTGCATTTTGGAGTAAATATACAATACCCACACTTAAACAAAGGAGCGTCAAAACCTTGAGAACATTCTGTCCATGCCTGCAGGGCTATATTGCAATGTGTTAACTTCTCTCTCTCCTTGTCTGAGTTCCTCTCTTGCCTCCCCCCTTTTTCTTTCTTTAAAGAGGCAAATGGTTTTACTTCCATTTTCCCCTTGTTAGAAAGCTAATATTGTCCCATGCTACATCAGAGCCGTAGTAACAAAGATCAATATACCATGGGAAAACATAATGCGTTTTCAACGGCTGGGGGGCGGTTATATGCTTGTAAAATACAGAGAAGCACAAATTAAGTTACTCTTGTTTAACAAAAAGGAAACTAAAATAAAATATAGGCCTTTATTGAGAGGCTAAGCAGTGTAATTTCATGAAATGATTGTTGAATAACTAGCTGGCAGATGTAGATTTACTGTGAACCAACTTTATATTGACTTGGCAAATTTTTCTGTTGGCAATAAAGCACTTGAAATTTTCCATTTGGAAACAATGAAGACTTTAGCTGTAACAATTGAACCACTGAAGCTAAGAAGCAGGTCTTTTTTTGTTAATTATATAGTGTTTGTGGTTTAAGCCCCAGCTCCTTTTGCCTGCATCATGCAAGTTTAAAGTGTTTTAGATAAAACTGTAATGCAAACGCAGTCATTTACTTGAAATATTTGTAGAATTAGTAGGTTTTAACCTCACTATCATGCATGTATTCTGATTCTGAACTAGATCTGACCAATTAGTTGTACTCTAACTACACTGCATCACAGAGATTGGCAGAAATGGGATGGATGGTGATAGAAATGTTCAACTATGGCAAAACTGGCACCCTGAAAGGAAAAAAAATATTCGGGGCATGTTGTAGCTTTAAAGAGAGTTCGACATTGAGGAATCCCACTTAGTAATTATGTTGGAGCTCTCTGGCCAGACTGTGGTAATGCATTACGGCAACACATTCACTCCCAGGTGTAGATTTGTGTTTGAATGTGTGTGTACAGATGTGGCATTTCTAGTTTTTTTTCAATACTTGTTTGCTGTACTACTGCAGCATCTTGGCTCCATGCCCTGGAGCACAATCAAAATAAAATATCTGGGCTGCTAGAAGTTACAAAGGAAAGTCCTACAACTAGTTTGTTCAGACAGTTTAGGCTACAATATGCTAGAACTGACCACCCTGGTGAATGCCTGGGCAATGCATTTTACTGCACACTGTGTTGTCAGATCAGATTTAGCAGAGAGTCTGTTGCTTTATGGGAAACGCAGCATGCATATTCCAATTATACTCTTAGCTGGATGCATATTAACCACTACAGGCTTTAAAAGGTATATTCTTACACATTAGAACACAAATGAAGACTCTCAGGGAGGATTTAATTATGTTTTAACTTCGTCAATGCCACTTTTGAAGCAATTTAACTATTACTAAAGATAGATTGATAGATAGAGATCCTATAACTAAGTGATCTTCTCTTCTCTCTATGTGCAGATATTCAATATTTAAGACGGTACACATACCACCTTGAATAATTAACTTTAATTAAATTCAACCTTAAATTATTTACTAGGCAGCGATCTGCTTTAGTCTCTAGTTGGACAAGCTGGATCTTTAGCAGTTTGAATGCATGCTGGGAACACTAACAAGACTCCCTTCACACGCGCGCACACACACACCTCCTCGACTTCTCCACTGTAGTTGGTCAGTGGCCAAAGGCTGTGGGTGTAGCTCCCAGGTGCGAGATTGTGAATGTATCCAACACTCCCTCCTTGCTGTGAACAAGCATGTGTTTTTGGCTTAATTCTATCTTCATTACATTTTTTTTTTTCTTATTCTCCCAGCTTGGTTGGACTTTTACCAAAACACACACCGAGTTATCGAAATATGTAGCAATGAAAGAATAAATTATATCGCCCCGTGCACCAACAGTTGTAGAAATGTACTCGTTGATACTTTATACACAATTAAAAGCCATTGCAAATTGGACTAAGCTCTTCTTTTTTTAAAGTGTGTATTTGTTTTTTCTATTGTTCAGTTGTTCCAGCACTTGAATGGATTTCAGAAGCCAAACATTTTATTAAAAACAATGTTTCAGTGATTTCCTTGTATTATATTAGAAGCCATTTGTCCAAAAAGCCTCCTAATGCCATCCCTAATAATACTAAGACTATGCATGTGATTTGAACAATAAAGCCAATCTTGTAAACTCAACATACTGCAGTGAAACCAAGATCATATCTCATCTCCTCAGCTGTTATCAGTTAAAAGTAATTTCGTGAAACTAATTATTTGCTTTGTTCCTTTGCCGTACCGTCGCCAGGTAGAGAAAAGTGTGAACCGCTTCAACAGGCTAAAAACTGCAGCTATGGAATACTCCACGGAGCTGCGAACACACGCACGCACAACTGGCACAACACTTGCACACAAAGTGTTGCACAAGGTGCTGTAGTCTCTGTCCAAATGCTTCATCTTGCAGGTGGGCACAAGCACAGATAATAAACCAGCAACATATCAAAACAAGGCCATGCCCCGGCGGTTTGTGTTTTCTGTGCAGGCTTTTTCATTTCGACGCGTTTAAAAGCCAGTGGGTATTATTTTTAATGATTGTTTATTGAGACTAATCTGCCACCTTAATCAAAGGGACCTTTGCAATCTGTGCGTCTGGCACTTTTTCCTGTTTATGCTGCTGGCTGTTCATGTCGTGCTTAAAAAGCATATATCAGCCAAATTCATTTTCAATCACCCACGGACTGGTTTGTGATAATTATGTAGAGCCTAAACGACGCATTTGCGTCACAAGTCTAAATGTTTTGCACTCACCTTGTCTGAAGGTCACCAAGAGGACTAAGATAATGGGACACAATCAAGCAGAGACAAAGCAAACACTTCATCTTCAGGTACTAAATTATTCACAGAAATGACAAAAGATGCAACATACAATGTCAAAACTGTCCATTCAAAGTGAAAGAAACAGAGCAAGTTTTTCACTTGAACAAGTGAATCACAAGGGGCATGGTCATTTATTTGTGAGCCTCATTGTGACTCATGAATACACTGTTGTAGTCAGAAGACACATCGTCCAGCTTTGTTACAGTGATTGGTATGCGGAGAAGGTCCAACACTGGAATGTAGTCTTTCAAAAAATGTCTGTTTTTGGAGTTTCACTGGCTGAGAATGTAGAAGATAAATAATTTCAGGATTGTCAGCATGATGGACAACTACATCATTATCCATAACCCTTACTGAAAGCTATGGATGCCAATACTGGGGTCTATAATGTTTATAAAACCATATCAGTGACACCTTATTACGTTCATATAAACCTTCCCTGAGAAAGCCCCATAAACCGCCACCCTTAGTATTCAGGTATAAATTAACTCGATACTTTTAGGAAATGTGATGAAAAGTTTTTGTACAGAGCTCCTTGGTTGTCCTTGGTCAAGTCAGCCTGTGATGAATCATGCATTGGATCAAAGTGGAGCTGCCATCCTCGTGGGGACACAGCACTGTCTGCCGCCGTCCTCATTCCACCTGCTGCCCCCGCGTCAGTGGCCACAGGTTGGATACCCTCGAAGGATGTCACCGCTGCTGCTGTCCCCCCTGCAAGACAAAACCCCACAGAAGTGGGTTTTATTTAGTCCTCTCCAACGACAAGTCTCTTCCTCACTCCGCTGCCTCCGCAGCTGGTACTTGTTGGTGCCCATCTGTTAAGGGTATTGTTTATGTGGTTGGTGATCCAGAACTCATTACCATCCCACCTTCCCCTATACACTATTGTTCTTCCTGCTAATATGGAGGCTCTGATGCAATCTGTCTTGAGGTGCAGTATGGGTTTGTGCTGAAAACTGACTAACGATAAGAGGAAAGAATGTTCCAGATGTTGAGATTTGATAGAAGCGGGAACAATTATAAACGTTGACAGATAAGTTGGATTTTCATTTTCGAAGTTCTCCAAGTCCTTGAAAAACAAGACATACTTCAGAACATTGAAGTAGCTCAAAAAAATGTAATTTAAAAAAATGCACTGGTTGAATAATGACCAAAAAAAATGACCACCATACAAATTCACCTGTTTTGTCCAAAGGAAATTATCCTGTCTGATAAAATTAAAAATTCCGTTCTGAGAGAAGTACAGCTCTTCTCCATTCAGACGGAATGAATACAAGCATGATGCGTGCAGTGGCTAACATCATTGCATAATCTGTGGGTAACTGAAGTTCAAAACTACCTCTCCCTGGCATTTGGAGCCACCTTTGCTCAAGTAAGTGCATCTTCATATCTCTATCCTAGTAGAACAGCTACATTGCAGAACATTGTTTCATGCATGCATAGATTTAACTCACTGTTATTCCAGTTGATGTCAACTTCCTTGGTTCTGTCACAAGATGATAGTTTGTCATTTGAGGCTTATGTCGACTGCCTGTTGAACAGGCTGTGTGTGACATTTTATTTAAGAAGCATGTCTTGTATCTCATTTGAAGCTAGACAGGGAAAAATAGTTAGTAGCTGTCACCTTCTCACTGCTTTTTGATGACAGAGATGTACTACAGCACTGCCACTTCACTGCATTAGCTGGATTCTGCATGTCTTAACATCCACCGTTGTTCCATATGAGAAAGTCTTCAGGCCATGTTTAACCCCCCGTAGACAAATTCTATGCTGCTCTTTGATTGGGAGGAGCGTTCTTCAGGAGCTTCCACTGTACAGAATCTCTCTTCATATTTATTCATGTGAACATTGTCAAAGTACAGCTCAGGCTTTCAGCTTTGCCTGTTACTGTCTGTGCCCTAGGAAGGCAAAGATCATTCATGTCAGCAGCTCCATATGCTTGGAATAAATAAAAAATGGCATTCTACCTCTCTGTCCTGACATGACTGCTTCACTCTAACACCTGCTCAGGCTAAAAGTGCAAGGGGTTGCTGAACAGCAGAGAACAAACTGAAGAGAAAGCGGATTTCTTGATTTTAAAATTGTTGTGCCATGCACCAATGAGTGTGCTGGGCAGCCTCAATAAGTTTTTGTGGGCCTGACGACGAGTCACATTCACTGGGCAATGCACCTTATCGAGACATAAAAACAGAAAACTCCTCTCGACTTTATGGGGATTTCTACCACCACAGATGATGAAAATCCAGAATTCATTCAGAAATACAGAATTCACAGAACCAAAGTTACCCATGTTTACTTGCTTGTTTAAAAGGACTGATTAAAATGCATTTTCTTGTGGTATTCAAGCTGAAATAGGTTAAGTTGCTGTTTAGGTTTGTTAAATATTAGGGATGCACGATGACATCAGCACGTCATCAGTTTCAGCCAATAAAGGCTTTAAAAATCAACAATTTCTTCCAAGATGACATTATATACCAGAAAAAGTATGGAAGTTTCCGAAACAGATAGATTCCAGTTAAAGTGCAACGTTGCTATTATAAACTATGTGCGTATATTGGCATCACCCAGAAGGAGTTGGAAAATATCTGCCAAAACCCAATATTGTGCACCCCTACTTAACATTTACAAATATGTAAAACTACAGTTTCAGTCAGGATCTCGATTCCAGAGACTATTCTGGTAAAATAAAAGGTCAAACAAATGCAGTACATAGCAAAGGAAGAATAGAGCGTGTAAACTGAACATTCTTTGTATGCTCATCTACATTCCCACAGTGGCTTCAGCTTATTGTTGACCAATCAGTATGTGATTGTTGACACTCAAACCAACTGCATATGCATGGAGGTACTCTAGTAGTTTGCTTAATTAGTGCTGATGACAGTAATCAACCTTAACTGATGGGCTTATCGGAAAGTGAACTGCGCCACATTGATTAGCCATCTATGCTGCGTTTGATACAGCATACCGGTCTATTCATTGGCATTGTGCCATTCTTACTGGAGCTGTTTATTTTGTTGTCCTAGCAGAGCACAGTAAGCTTTCTTTTAATGGACTCAGCTCTTTTTTTTTTTTTTTCCTCCCCAAACAAACTTCACAGACTGTTCAGAAATCAACCAATTATTAGCCCATCAGGTTGTTGTCTGCAGCACCAGGTCCCAGGTGTATATATACTGTTGTGACCACTCCACAAAAAAGCTCTCGTAGGAAATTGCCTCAGTAAATACCCTGTGTATATCTTAACGGGTAATATTTAAAATTCTGCAACAGCAAGTCACCCAAGCCTTGATAGATGTGTCTGCCTGCTAGGTCGATGAATAATGCAAATGAAACTAATTCTTCCCGACCTAGTGCCAAGCCTAATACACATTTATATGCTCCGCTAGTGAAAGATGTGTGAGATTCCTATTATGGGACGGAAGCAATCTGTATTTTAATAATGGGCCTGATAGACCTTGGCCTTTCCTTTCTTTGAGAGTCTGGATGCACCTTATGCGACGTCTTGTACAGTTTAATGGCAACAATTGCTTCCAATAAAGACTAGGAACATATATAAAGTTCATTTTGTGTATTTGTGTTCTCTCTCTTGTGTCATAGGTGTAGGCATACTCATACTACAATAAAAATGTTTTTCTGTAACATGAGCAGATGGTTCTTTAGTGAGGATTCCCAGTGATCTTGCATACAAACTTTTACTCTCAGATCATGGGGTTAAAAATGTAGCTAGATGTACCCAATTTTTTGCATAGATGATATATACTCTAGGTGGCAAATTGATAGCAATGGCAATTATCCTCAAGGCAATTTTTTTTTTTTAAATCCTTAAATAGCTGATCTGTCATCAGTAATAGCACAAATATTGTCCCATATTGTAGGAATACTGTGTGAGTACTTACAAATAGCTTTACACATACTACCTTATCCCAAGCAACAGATCTTTTTAGGGCCTATGCTCGTGTGTGAGACAAATTGAAAGTCTTATTCAACCAAAATTTGCCGCAGATGTTTCTACTCCTCTTAGATTAAAAAGAGCCCAACCATAAATATCTATTAGATTTCCAAGAGACACATGGAAATAAATCTTCATCGGGCAGGGATATCCCACCTTCACAGAGGAAGGGGCATATAATGAAAGTGGTGTTAACTTTAGATTGGCACAGAGCAGCTGCCTAATATGCAGAACTCTTGCTCCTAATGCCCACCCATAGTACTCAATCCGAGGCTCACCAATTTGCCTTAACAATTAAAGATTATGCTTTCAAGTGGATTCAGGTAGTTTCAGTAAGTAGGTAAAGAAGAAGTGTATGATCTGGAATAGGTTCTCCCCTTACTTGCACTTAAGAGTTTCTCAGATCTACAAGATCTTTGCCAACACTCTATTCCAAACATTCAAAACTAAAATCACTTTGAGAAACTCATGTCTGTGGATTATTCTCAAAAGTCAGGACCAAGGTTGGAATCAAGACTTAACAGCCAATCAATCCAAACTAGACCTTGTGTCAGTTATTACATTATGTATGGATTTATTGTGTTTGATTGTTGCCAGTGTGATTGACTGTGCACAAGAAGTGTAATGCCATTTCCATGACAATGAGTCATCACCGTCAGTCAGTTGACATGCCAAGAATGTCGCCAATTCTAGCAGCAATCCTCTGCTCACTTTACTGCATCTGCTCGACCAATGAACACCTAAAATCAGTGCCTCTAATCTGGCAAATTGTGGCATTTCTCCTAACTAAAGCCATTATGCTGTCTTGGTGATTATTTGTATTACTGGTTCAATTATATTATTGACAATAGAATGTATAAAGTCCTCCCCTGTCCAAGAATGTCTACTGCCACATTGCCTCTATTTGAACGGTTGCATCTGTAAGTGTTATAAAGATAAGCACTTAAGACACATAATAGCAGTGCCATATTGCCAACAAGTACATTCTTTCCATTCATGGAACTTCATGTGGCCCAGAAATCGACATGACTGCTTTTCTAGCCTGCGGGCCTTAATGGCCCTGAAAAAGACATCGGTTTATGATTAGGTCCAAAAAGATTGAGTTCTGGTGGAACCAATCCTTGAAAATAATCTTATACTGTTAGAAACTGCTCATTTCACTCTGCCAAATCGAGGTTTAACCCAAAGAGTGAGTCAGCAAACTGGCAAATCTGAATGCATCTGAATCTGAAACAATGGAATTGTACCACTTTTTTTTTTTTTATCTGAATCAGATGAAATGGGTGCTCAACTCATTTAGATCTAACTAAATAATGACATTATTTCTACCCCTGGAGCAGCACTTTCAGCGAGAAATATTTTCTTCAACTCCAAGCTTCTAACCTATTGGCTATACAAGCTAAAAATAGGCCCAGGCCCATTGACGTGAACATGAAGTACAAAACAGTATGCAAAGTTAATCAATGTCAACCTAGGCGCTACCTGTCAAGAATGGTTTCAGTCCACTCACCTAGCCACTGGCTAATAGTGTTTGACAATCTCAATGAGTTTTCCAACTTAAGATTCTAAACCAAATATCAGCACCTCGCCTCCCCGTCTGCTAATTCAAAAAGCCTGAAATCAATTTATAGCACATGGTCGATGGCTTTAGATGGTCCCAGTATCTCTCCCCACTCATTCAGCTGGGGCCTCTCGGAGGGGAAAGCGTAATTCAACTACCATTCTATAAATTCTATTACATGGTGCTGGGTATGGCTGTGAAAGTGTTGTGTCTAATGAAGAGCTCGTAGTACCTGACAGCCTGCTTCGAGTTTCTGGTGTAGCACACCAATAACAGCAGTGAGTGTTCCTTCTGTGGAGGAAAAAAGCCGGGAGATGGGATCCATGAGTGTGTGGGAGACAGATATGGACAAAGTGTTAGTATGTGTTTGAGTGCAGACGAATGGGACACTTCCATGACACTGTACATGTACTGTAGCTCTCCAAAGTCTGCTGGTCTCCTACATCCTGTTTAAAAAATGAGTTTGTCTTTTATTGAACACATTTGCATTTCTTCTCTATGCCTTTAATGTTGCAGTGTATTTATGAATAATTTATGTCATATTTATCTGCGTGCTTGACTCGCAGAGGACAGATGACCATGTGTTAACACAAGCCTACAACCATGTTTGCGGCTGTGTGAGGACTGCATGCAGATGCCAGTTAAATGCTAATTTTAGCATGCAAATATGTTCACAATGACAGTTCCAATATGCTTATGTTTAGCAGGTGTGTTCAGTTGCCATGCTAACTTTTGCTAGCTAGCATTAAACACAAAGTACAGCTGAGGCAGATGGGAGTGGCTCGTAATATATATCACATACAAATATCACAGAAGGGCCACCCCATGACCAGAAACTTAAAAAACAAAGGATTGGAACTTGCCATCCCTCTAAAATTGATTGACATGTCTTACCACCAATTAAAATAAAATATATTATGGTTTGTGCATTGCCAAAGTTTAAAAAGGCCGTTTTACTTACAGATGAAACTTCACTTTTATTACTTTGTATTGCATGCATTGTGCATTAGGAGGCATTAAAACCAATGAGCAGCTTAGATCAAAGAAATATATTCTAATACCCATTTTCATATGAAATGGATTTTCTTCAGCAGCAGTGCAAAATTACATGGACAAAATACTACTACTAATAATGTAATAAAGTCATTTAGGTCATTATTACTCAGGCAGTGTAGGTATGTAGTTTTCTAACACTTCGATCAATTCAATGAATCCCCACAGCAGTTGGGGATGTCAGGGGAAGTGACTAACACTGCCTTCCATCAACAACTACAATTGAGATGCCCCTGGGCAAAGCTCTCAATCCTCAATTACTCTGCTGGAGCTGCTCAGTGGCCAACAGCAGAGGACTATAGTGGTTGTATCAGGCAGCTGTGTATGTGTAACCTAATTTGAAGCAGTGCAGTGCTGAAGGAACAATCTCTGCCTGTATGTGGTCTCCAGGAACATGTTACCATTTTCATGATTTAAGAAGAAGGCACAGGTGTGTCACAGCTTGTGCTTGAAACAAAATATTTTCTGATTTCACTAATGTGGGTTAGGCCAATAGTGGAAAGTTTCAACATTTTCTCCTTCTCCAAATCAGATTACACTGGTGCCGCAAGAGCATGAAGAGATGGGATAAACCTCAGTTGGCTGGGCTGCTAAACGGCCTTGAGTAAGAGATTTCAAAGAGTGGGTTTAAGTGCACAGGTGCATTTTGTAGCTCCAGGTTCAAAAGTTTACACATTGAAGTGCAAATGGGGTGTCGGTTTTCTCCCTCATCTACTTTTTGTCGCTTTTCTGTCATGCTGCCATCTGCCTGCTTTACAATTGTGTCAATCCAAGTTAAAGTGAAGACATTTAAGGAAATGAAGACGAAATTTTGTCGGATGCAAGAGGCAAAGAAAAAAAACAACAACCGGGGAGAGGGTCTGGCTGTCTGAATTGATCGAAAGTGACACTCTGGGAGAGCACAAACAACAATAAGACTTCAAGAAATCAACGCAGTTTATTGTCCGGACATTTTCTCTGACAGTAGACAGCTGAGATGCAAACGGACATTTGAATTCAGCTCGTGATGCCGGCGGCACGCGTTGCTCAGTGCTCAGGCCTCTTGTGACCGAAAGTGCATGCAAATGTTACACGCTCCCCTGTACACGAGGAAGAACAGGAATGACGCATCAGGCCTTCTGCCAAAACTCTGTGGCAGTAGACAGACAGACAGACAGACAGACACACACACACACACACACTGAGGCAATTTTGTGCAGCCTTTTTGAAATATTTTCTATTTTGTTTAATGTCCATACTTATATATAAATCAAGATGAATAAGGAATAGCAAATCAAATTTGTTTTTAGACTCAGGACAGAAAGTCTTTATCCACTGCAAATCAGACCTACAAGAGGCAAGAAACCAAAAAACTTGGCTGACTTTTTTCTTGCTAAATAAATGATGGAACTAATTTTTATGTTCCCTCTGCAAACAGAAAGCAAAGAAGCAAGCACGAACCACCAACCATCTCCCTCTAAATTGCGTTATTTCTGCTTTGCTGAATGTGGTGTCTGGAGCGTCCCTAATACGTGCGTGCATATACTTTAAACCCATTCAGGAAACACATGGAATGCACGTGCAAAAAAATAAAAAATAAACAAATGGAGACACACGCACACACACAGCTTGACTCAGCAAGTTTTAAATTGTGCTGACGGTACACAAACACCCCAGAGGATGAGGTTACAGTGGGGTCATGTCATTAACCTGCCCATGTGTGTTTCCGGGTCACTCGCTCCGAAATCTCCACGGGAATATCAATCACAAGGAGGTGTCCGCTCTAATTTGTGTGCATGTGAGTGTGGGAGAGAGTTAGAGACGGATGCAGATATTCCATGCTTGTGTGTACTGAAGATAATGCTCTGTCTATTAAAAAAAAAAACCCTCTAAAACCATGTTGCTGTCTGATTTGTGAATTATATTTTAAATTAATAGCTTGAAATATTTTTCATTCTACAATGCAGGGCATATACAGGAATATTAAGAGTAACCTTTAGTTTTTAAACTTGAACAGATTTTCAAACTATTCAAAACCATGTCCCTATTAAAGCGAGATTTTTAGCAATTATGTTATAGTTCATATTTCTCAGCGCAACAAAACACTCAGCATTTGTCGATCCAATTAAATATTCATCCAGTCCACATTCACTCAAAAAAGGTGGAAATTCACTTTATAATTGGGTCCTAAAAGCTTTGTGAGAAAATCTGCTGCAGTAAAATTCAATAAAAACTTGTTTCAAATGGAAATAATCTTGTTTGAGTAATTTCCAAGAGCTAAGTGTCTGTATCTAGAAACAAGAGATTAAAACTCCATCTGTTTAGTACTGCACTTCCATAAAGTTGGGGGGCACTCTGCAGCAGATGTACTGACTTTTAGTCCTTAGTATTGGTCTGAGATTTTGGATCCTACATTTCCCATGATACAAGTCAGTTAGATCTTTTCAATAGACCTTTCTTCCCTGGACAAAAGATGTTATACAACTGCTCCACAAGCTGGCAACTGTTGATAATGTGCAAAATGAGCGGAGAGTCCCTTTAAGGCAAGTCACTGCACTATGACTCAAGAAAATGTGCACTTTTGGATACATTTTTAATGCTTTAAAACAAACTGATTTGATATGGAACAAAGTTTAAATATTCTTCCTGCGCTGGCTGATAGTTGCAGTTAGATTGTATTTCATTATATGCTCATACACCTAGTTATTCCCGTATGTAGTTGTATGGGTGATGAATGGGTGAGTAATTTGAGTAGCAAATGCAAAAGAATTGCAGTCATGTTTTTCGCTCCGTACCACTTGAGAGGTGAGTAAAAATGATTCAAAACATCCGATATTGTCCTTTCCGTGTGACAGATTTTTTTGGTATTTCACTGATAAAAGCAGAGTGCTGCTATAATTATGATTCCCCAGTGTCAGAGGTGATATCTGTTTTAAAGTGGTGCTACTGAAATACTTTGTTTTTCTCTGTGGGATCCTGATAGTTAAGATTGGTAAGGAACTGGGATACGTGCGCCATTTGAAATGTAACACCAACTCTGAGGAAAACGATTGCTGGTAAGAGGCTAAGTCAATATTAAATATGATTGAAATGCATCCCTGCGCACAAACACGAGTACACTGCTCAGGATGTAATCAATTCTACTTTGTAAATATTAAGCATTTCACAGTTGTCATTTGATGTTCTTGTGTAATCCCACTGCAGTGCACACCGAGGCCCATCCTTTGCATGAACCCGAGGCACACAGGCACACACAGAAGGTGGCGCAAGCTCATCGGAGTGTGACCAACAGATTTTTTTGGTCATTTTATGACCAGAGGCGCTGGCTCAGCGGGGGTACACCGACGGCACATTGTGAAAAAAGGAGCTGGATTTAGGTGGAAAACATTACCAGGAAATGTTGCAAGGTCTGGAATTGATCGAAGCCAATCACATCAACAGCTCTGATCCCAAAAGGCTGGGCACTTCTTGGCACGAGGCGCAGAGAGGCTTGTCGAGGAGAGAACCTATTAACTTATACTGTATGCAAATAGGGTTTGATAAGTAGGATGAAATGTCAGATCAACGGCTTATCAATAAACAGGGGAAGATCTGTAGAAATATTTTGGAGGGGGGTGGCAGAAATATATGCAGATTTAATCACATACAGTCACATATCAATATTTGCTTGGGAAAGCTCCTTAATAAAGATATTTATTAATAAGGTTTTTTTTCAGCCTATCGTTCTAAAATGTGGTCATAACAGATCGCTAAATTATGTGTTAATTTCTGTTTTTAAACACTTAAAAAAAAATATATATCTTATTAAAAAATATAATAATTAAAAAAGAAAAATTAATCCAAAATGTGTTGAATTTGACTGGTGGCAGCTGAGGTGGCCTGGCAGTGAGTGGGCGTTCTATCTTCTCTAATACTCATACTAATATTATTTGTAAATTTTCTTGATTCAACTGAATTTTTCCAAAGCTTCAATGAGTCATATTGCTATGAATCAGGCTTTTGGATTAGGTCCAGAGAGCAGGACCTGTAGACTGTAGAGAGAACACATCTTGAAGAACTTGCTTTTTATACCAAAGCATAATACGGACATCACTGGATTGCCTTTAGACTCTATATGGAATCCTATGGAATCTACATTGTATACAGGCACTCAAAAGCTGTGTGGAACATTAGCACCTTGTAGAAACCAACCTGATACATGTCTACAAAATCAGAAGGTACTTAAATCCATGCATGGGGGTGTCTAGAAGAGCATGGTT